CTCAAGGCTAGCGCTCTACCACTTGAGCCATAGCACTACTTCCGGCTTTTTTTTTCTGGTTATGTGGTGCTAAGGAATCGAACCCAGGGCCTCATGCATGCAAGGCAAGCACTCTACCACTGAGCCATCTTCCCAGCCCCGAACCTCTGACTCTTGAAGTCCCAATACCTCGCTTCTCAACTTTTCTAAAGTTTTAGTTTGAGTGAGAAATTGTATTTATAGCTAGACACGGATACACATAGTAGCCCAAACATAATAATTAATTTCTTCTTAAGTAACAGTGTAATTGGCCCTTGGTATCTATGGATTCAACCAATTCTGGGACAAAAAGTATTCTAAAAAGATGTGTCTGTGTTGAACATTTACTTTTTTCTTGTTATGATTTCCTAAACAATACAGTATAATTATTTATACAGCATTTAAATTATATTAGCTATTGTCTAGAGATAATTAAAATACAGGGAAGAATTTGGGCAGGTTATATACCCAAAGCATCCTGAAACCAATTTCCATTTCTACTGTACCAATGGAAAAGACAGGCTTCTTCCATACAGTTATCTAAGGGTCAAGGCCTCTAAGGAAGTTATAATAGAGGTCATCTCCACTCTGGCCAGTCAGAAAAAGAAAAAAAAAATTCAAGTTTTTATGGGCGAGGCCTAGAAATGCATGTCACTTCTGCTCATATTCCATTCTCTAGAACTCAGTCACATGACTCTGTTTAACTGCAAGGAAGGCTATGAAACATAATTGGGATATCTTCCCAGTGTAAGGTCCGCTCCTGGATGGTGAGCAGACTCCACCCTCCTCGCAGCAAAGTCTCCACCCAGTACCTGCGTTACCTAGGCAACTGGGACACCTGGAAGAGGTCACATCTGCATCCGCTGAGGTCACATCTGAATTTGATGTGGCCACACCTTTCTCCGCCCATACCCTACATAAGGCCTAGCCCAGGCCCAGACTCTCTCTTTTTCTCGCTCTGTTCTTTTCCAACTCTTGCTCTTCTTTTCTAGCTCTCTCTCTGCTCTAGCTCTTCCCTCTCTCTTTCCCAGCCACGTGGAGTGCCAACCTTGCCTGGTCCCAGCAGGTCTACTGGATAAACCTACCCCTTACCTGAATACCACGTGAGTGCTACTGTTCTTACCCCTCTCTCTGCTCTTTTCTAGCTCTTTCCTCTCTTTCCCAGCTCTCTCCTTCCCAGGCCTTTCCCAGCCACGTGGAGTGCCAACCTTGCCTGGTCCCAGCAGGTCTACTGAATAAACCTACCCCTTACCTGAATACCACGTGCGTGCTGGTGCAGTTCTTACTCGGCCACCTCTTTTTAAAAACCTAACACCCAGGAAGAAGAGCAGAGTTAGGGTGGTAATGAACAGTCTCTGCCACTCGTGCATTCGGAGGCACACCCTTCTCTAGTCTAGGTCAATTATGCTTTCATGCCTGCTGTTCAGACTCCAGAATCTTGTCAACATATTTTCCTTTCCTCTTTCCTTTCTTTGTTTTTGTGGTTTAGACTATTTTTATTTCTCTACTATCATTAGTGAAATTTTGGTTGGGAATAAAGATAAATGTGCTGTTACATTGATGGTCACATATATGCATAGTAAAATAACCAAAGAAAAATCTCTCTAAAGTTCATATGGGTTTGTTAGCTGTGAATTTTATATCCCCAATCTTTTTAGCTTGTAGGGCTTGAACTTCAGGCCTGGGCATTGTCCCTGAGCTTCTTTTTGCTTAAAGCTTGAGTTCTACCACTTGAGCCACAGCACCACTTCTGGTTTTGGAGAGGTTAACTGGAGATAAGAATCTCACAGGGACTTTTCTGCCTGTGGTGGCTTTAAACCACAATTCTCAGATCTCAGCCTCCTGAGTAGCTAGGATTACAGGTGTAAGCCACCAGCATCCAGCTATGTATCCTCATTACTTTTTTTCTTTGGGGGGGGGGGTCCAGTTGTGGGGCCTGAACTCTGGGCCTGGGCGTCCCTCAGCTCTTCAGCTCAAGGCTAGCACTCTACCAGTTGAGCCACAGCGCCACTTCCGGCTTTTTTTGTTTTGCTTATGTGGTGCTGAGGAATTGAGCCCAGGGCCTCATGCATGCAAGGCAAGCGCTCTACCACTGAGCCACCTTCCTAGCCCCCTCATTACTTTTTATGGACTATGAAAGTTAAGAAAGAGAATGAAGAACATTATGTATCTTGACATAGAAAATATCTTTCATGTATTAAATGAAAATAAGGAATTTTTAATTGTGTTATGATAGGAACCTATTTTATACATGTTTAGGTATTTTATTTTTGGAAATACATATTTTACTGTAATGCAGAGGCTTTCACCTTTAATTTTACATACATCAGTAATATTTTAATACTTTATGTTGAACATTTGTTTGAACAGTCTTTTAATCAATATCAAAAATTTAAGGAAAAGTTATCAGTGGCAAAAATACTGGAGAGATCAGTTAAAGCTGAAATTTTTCTACTGGATATAATGGGATCAGAAATTATCTCAATGAGGGGTTGGGATTGTGGCTTAGTGGTAAAGTGCTTCCTAGCATGCATGAAGCCCTGGGTTTGATTCCTCAGTACTACATAAGTAGAAAAAGCTGGAAGTGGCACTGTAGCTCAAGTGGCAAAGTGCTAGCCTTGAGCAAAAGAAGCTCAGTGACAGTGCCCAGGCCCTGAGTTTAAGCCCAGGACTAGCAAAAACAAAACAAAAAAATTATCTCAGTGAGGAAAATATAGGATGTCAGGAAAATGAACATAATTGTTTAGACTTAAGAAAAAAAGAAGACTAGGCAAGAATGTGATTAGAAGAGAATACGTGTTGAAGAGAGAATCTGAAGTTTTGTGGGTGGCTTTTCTTTCCAATATCTGGGGATTTTGAGTATGTTCTTTAGTCTATGGAGGAATAAATAGTGTCAAATACTGGAGAGAGATGACTTCAAGAAAAATGATTTCAGAATTTCATCTTTTGTCTCATCTGTCTATTGGTCCTCTGAAAGATTAAAGGTAACAAGTAAATGCATTCAGCAAGACCAGTGTAGAAGAAGCAAGCTTTAGGGGAAAGGACTTTGATTAGATGAACACAGTTTGACTTCTACAAACCTACTTTGTCTGAGTTGGTCCTGCTAAGCATGGACTTGACCCAAGTAAGCACCATATGTAACTATGGCTTCTGACCTAGGAATCTAAGCTTATTGGTGAGAGAGATGAGAATGAAGAATTTCTTCCTCTTTTGAAGAGCAAAACATTTTCCCAGTACTGCAGCACTCCCAGTACTTCCAGCCCCTTATCAAACTAAATGCTTCTTCCTCATTCTTTTTCCCAAGGACACTAATTTAGAACTGCTTTGCCAAGAAACAGTGTATTTTGAGAAACTATTTCCTCACCTCACTAGGGTTACATGAATTATGACTTTGACTACCTTCTTCCTTAGAAATCTGTAAGGTAGCAGATCGTGAAAACTTCCTACGCTATCCCCTTCCCCAGGAACAGTCCAAAAACTGCACTTCTATGAGTGGTTCTTCCCCCCCTAAAATCAGAGTAGAAATATGAAATATATTAGATATAAACTATGGTCTAAGCTCTATCCTTTGAGAGAACTTAAATGTTGTTGTAAAGTGGACATAAGATGTTTAGATATAGAAAATTTTGGGTCAAACAGCTTTTCAAGAAATGTCTTAAACTTTGTAGAAGCTACTTTGAATAGGAACAGAAGAACACTGATATATCTGCCCTAGAAACTCTTCTAAGCTCTATCAAAGATCAGACTTGAATTCATACTCTTTATTCTGCTTCTTCACATTAGGTATCCTGGAATCACCCATTTAGTCTTCTTGGTCAATATATGTCCTCCTTATTTCACCACTTTTTGGCCCATTAAAGAGAGAGGGAAGCCAGGTGTCAGTGGTTCGTGCCTGTAATCCTAGCTACTCAGGAGGCTGAGATCTGAGGATCATGGTTCAAAGCCAGCCCAGTCGGGAAAGTCCATGAGACTCTTATCCCCAATAAACCACCAGAAAACCAGAAGTGATGCTGTGGCTGAAGTGTAGAGTGCTCGCCTTGAGCTGAAGCTGAGGGATAAGGCTCAGGCCCAGAGTTCAAGCCTCATGACCAACAAAAAAAGAGAGAGAGAGAGAGGGAGGTTGGGGATGTAACTCAGTGATAGAGCTCTTTGCCTAGCATGCATGAGACCCTGCATTCATCAAAAGGAAGAAAGGGAGGAAGGAAGGGAGGGAGGAAGGGAAAAAAAGGGAAGAAGAAAGAGAGGAGTTGATGATACAATAGAGCAAGAGGAGCCAATGGCTTGAGGTCTAGATGATGTCAGTGAGGATGATTCCTGTGGGTTCTGTCAGGTTTCAAAGTATATATGTTGAGAGGCTTACTCAGCAGGTATGAATTCCTGTCTTCCTACCCCATCCACCCCATGGGTGACTCAGCTCCCAGAAGAGCCAGGCCATCAAGAAGTCTGCAGTCTAAATGTAAAAGATAAGGCTGTAAATTACTGAGACTTGACACAGAAACAAACAGAGCTTCTGACTACCAGTGTATAAAAATTTCTCCAACCTGGGAGAATTACCCACCCTTTCTGTAAGATTATTTAAAAAATATTTAAAACTTATTTAAAAAATATAAAAACAGAGATTATTTATTCCAGGTGAAAGCCACTTTTCTCCCAGATTTCCTTTGGAAAGGAAGGGAGGGCAACAGCCCATATCACTAAAGTCATTGAGTTCTGTTGAGCCATAGAATAGTCATTGGTCCTATTCACATTTCCCAGGACAATATCCTACCTTGCTCTTTCATTTATTAAGGGTGGCCTATTGCAAATTGGTTTATAGTATCTGTCCAGACAATACCAGTGAAGTCCTCACCTGAAGGAAAAATAAGAAACAAAGGGAGAACTCAGTTGCATGAAGTTCCTTCGTTATTTCTGTGGTACCTGGGAGACAGTGGGAGCTGGGAGGAGGTGGCTTATTCTTAAGCTGTTGCTTTCTATTCCTCAAGCAACCTCATAACATCCTGCAGAGGCGCCTCATGGAAACCAACTTGTCTAAGCTCCGAAGCACTCGTGTTCCTTGGGCCTCCAAGACCAACAAACTCTCTCAGTCTAAGTCTGAGGGGCTAAAGAAGTCTGAAGATGATGACATGATTTTGATTTCTTGCCAGGTAATGTTCGAAGAAGAGCTTTTCTAGGGTTTTCTGTAAAGTAAGATTTTGAGGGTCTTTATTATTCCAATAGTAGTTCATAGCCTGTAGTTCTTATGGAATTCATAAAAAGTTATATTGTATACGCTGAAAGGGAATATAATTTGTGTGCACGTACAACTTTATGGGAAGGATGAAAGATTTTATTAGATTTATAAACTGATAGGTGATTTAAAAAAAATTAAAGGCTGGAGGATATAGCTAAAGTATTAGGGCATGCCTAATGTGCACAAGGCCTAGGTTTGAACTCCAGCTCTAGGGGGAAAAAGATTAAGAGTTATATGCTATATAGAATATCCAGACTCTTAAATTGGCACCGCTGGCTCATGCCTGTAATCCTAGCTACTCAAGAGGCTGAAATCTGAGGATCAAGGTTCAAAGCCAAGTCTTTGAGACCTTTATCTCCAGTTAACCACCAAAAAGGCAGAAATAGAGCTGTGGCTTAAGTGGTTGAGTACTTTAGCTTTAAGCTAAAAAGCTCAAGGACAGTGCCCAGGTTCTTAGTTCAAGCCCCAGGACCAAGCATGCATGTGCGCGCGCGCTCACACACACAGAGAGAAAGAGAGAGAGAGAGAGATCCAAAGTCCTGGAATATTGAGTCAGCTTTGAATTCAGTAGGAAAAAGGTAATCAAAGGCAGATTTATCAGTGGGTAAAAATGGGATACTACCATCTAATTGGAAGGATACTCCCCAATCATGTGCTTCATTTGTTACCTGCTGCTTGTTCTCTGCATCTCTCTTCCATGTTGCCTTTCTCCTTCTTGAATTGTATGTTTCCTTTCACAGTGTGCTGGAAAGGATGTGAAAGCTGTGGTTGACACAGGCTGTCAATACAATCTCATCTCCTCAGCCTGTGTGGACAGATTGGGGTGAGTAGCCACATTTGTTAGGTGGAAGTCAGATGTGAATGCACACTTTTCTCCATTCTATTTTGAGGTTAGGTTACAGGAGGTGAGTGTCACCATATAAACACAAAGAGCCCAGATTTCAGCTGGAAGCAGGGTCCTTAGAAGAGGGCAAGGGTGGCAGTTTGTCAGGAAGTTGGGAGAAATCAGTGAGGCAGAAAGCCACAAGCTTTCTTACTAGCTCTTTTTCTGGGGGGAGGATCCGGTTGTGGGGCCTGAACTCTGGGCCTGGGCGCTGTCCCTCAGCTCTTCAGCTCAAGGCTAGCACTCTACCACTTGAGCCACAGCGCCACTTCTGGCTTTTTTCTTTTTGCTTATGTGGTGCTGAGGAATCGAACCCAGGGCCTCAGGCATGCAAGGCAAGCGCTCTACCACTGAACCACCTTCCCAGCCCTCTTATTAGCTCTTTTGAGGAAATATCTCTAGATTCTGGATGAGAGTGTGAGATTACTGGCTGATCCACCAGACAGCAAACTGAATGTGATTGTCCCCTTGTTATATCTTTGATGAATAAAAACAGAAATGTGGTTGGCTTTAACTTATTCAGGGTCATTCTGGAGGACACACTGGCTACCCTTAAGAAATACTAGTCAGAACTGAGAATCCACTGCTGTGGCAACTAGGACTGGGCTTCATAGAGGTGACTACTTAAGAGTTTCTTAGTGCCTTGCCTGTCTGTGAAGAACATGTACAGTCATATCCCCCTGTTGTCCCTGCTGGAGACTGAATGAGTCAGACACTTAGTATATTAAATGTTTTTAGTTCTTCCAGCAGTTGATATTGGATTTGGCCCTCTTTTAGTCAGAGAAAGCTATTCTGTATCTTATCTTTTTTTCTTCTTCAGTATCTACTTTTACTTTCTTATTATTCTTTTTCTTCATGGAAACTACTAGATGGGCTTTGAAATCTAGCCCAGAATCAGTAGGATCAACCCAATAGCATTTTCCATATTTCTAGTCCAAAGTAAAATAAATCATTTTGCGGCACAATTCTGTAGAGAGAAATAATCATCAAGATAGACATAGTGACCCATTTTGAGCTACTGTCAAGACATCCATATACATAGGTTATACTGGGATTTATTTATATAATCAGTGACCCTGACACCTGATCTGTTCCTTCTGTGTCTACCCTTTCCTCACCCTGTACCACTATTGTTACTCTTTGAAGTTGATTGCTGTGTAGGGTGGGAGTTGGTGAGGGTAGATAAGGAATCTAGGACTCAAGTCCTCTTGTGGGAAAACCTTTGAGCTTTTTTCTGTGTTGTGAAGAGATGAGCTATGATGCAATATGATGGTTCCAGAAAGTCTAAAAATGTCCTGATGCATAATTAGGCATGCCATGTTTCCAGAGGAATTAATAATTATCTGTAAAACTGAAATTATTTTTCTTTTAGATGGGCTGTAACACCAAAAGAGAGGAAATATAGGAAAGCAGAAGTATTGGCACAGAAAGTCCATAATTAAGTACTTATCCACCAACCCATAATAGCTTGGTACTAGCTATTCCAATCAGCTTACATAATTGTGTGAAACTTTGATGCTATTGCTTTCCTTCCTCCTCTGGCAAGTCAAATTAAGGAGGGCTTTCTCTATAATATTACTTGCAGATATCAATATTAGTGCTTTACCAAATAAATACTTGCCCTCACTAACTGTATAGCCTAAGACAAACAGATAAGAATAGAATGAGATGGAAAGGAGGAGAAAATTAGACATTGAACAAATCAACTTCTAAAATTACTATTAATTTGTCCTGTTTTGTGGGTTTTTTTTTTTAACCTACTGATGGGTAAAAAAAAACATGTTAACTAAACTGACTCACAAAGTAGGCCTGTTTGAATGCAGAACTGAATTCACTAAATGTGTCAACTCTCCTCATTAACCAATACAGGTAATGAATACAAGCTTTTTTAAAAATAGGAAGTAAAAGCCAGTGCTGGTGGCTCACGGTCCCATTTTTTTTATTTATTTTTATTTATTTTTTTGTCGTGAGGCTTGAACTCTGGGCCTGGGCGCTGTCCCTCAGCTCTTCAGCTCAAGCCAAGTGCTCTACCACTTGAGCCATAGTGCCACTTTGGGTTTTCTGGTGGTTTATTGGAGGTAAGAGTCTCATGGACTTTGTTGCCTGGGCTGGCTTTGAACCGTGATCCCCAGATCTCAGCCTCCTGAGTAGCTAGGATTACAGGCATGAGCCACCAGCACCTAGCATTTTTTATATGTATCTCCCTGAAACGATTAGGACAAAGTGCTGAAGTGAATGTTTAGTTCTCACTTTTTGTTGGTGTTGTTCTTGTGTGTTTTGATAAAATCCCAGGAAATTACTTAGGAATTCCAGTGGTGGGTCAGAAACTTTTGCCAAAGAGATTCTGATATTTTTTCTGTCCTGATGCAGGCTCAAGGAACATGTCAAATCTCATAAGCATGAAGGAGAAAAGCTTTCTCTGCCCCGGCATCTCAAAGTGGTGGGCCAGATTGAGCACCTGGTGATCACAGTGGGCTCCCTCCGCCTGGACTTCCCAGCAGCTGTGGTTGGTAAGTAGAATTGGGTACTGAAACTATGGCCCCCTAATGTAAACTGTCATGAAGTTTCATATCTATAATACTGACTTCCTCAAAAAATGTCAGGTTCTCATTTTTCTGTTCTAGAAACTTTGTCCCAATTTTTCCCATACCAGATGGTTCTTAGTTACATTTAAGATGTGCTAAGGAAAAAAAAAAACATGCTAAGAATCAATCAGAAAAAAAAGATTGGAACTCAGATAAAACAATTGATGGAACAAGAGAAGAAACATTTTTGTGTACAGGTGAAAATGTCCCCTGAGAGCTTTCCATGAAGTAGTGGCAAAGGGCAAGATTCCTTTGCCAGGAATCCCTTGATAATTTCCCACTCTCTTCCTATGTTCTCTTCATGCATTCTATATCAGACTTCTCTGAGTTCTTCATATTTTAAATTTTTTAAATTTTCCACTAGAATAAAGACTTGGGTTGGAATTTTATCTCTACCAACTCCTAACTATAATAATCTATTTTAAGTACTTAATAAGAGATGTTCAACAGATACTTTTTGAATGGATGAATGGATGGATGAACCTAGGTGATTGGGCTGACTACTAAGACAGCATGTAAATGGCTGGATCTTAATTTTGTCTTGTTTTGTGTTTTATTTAGAGGATAATGAAAAAAACTTATCTCTTGGTCTCCAGACACTCCGATCACTGAAGGTAAGATGAACTGCATTTTCCTTTGATATGTCCTCTATGAGGCTGGGATCTTCTTACATGGAGAAAAATAGGAAGTAAGACTTCAGTATTTTTTTTGCCAGTCCTGGGGTTTGAACTCAGGGCCTGGGCACTGTCTCTAAGTTTCTTTTGCTCAAGGCTAGCACTCTACCACTTGAGCCACAGCACTACTTCTGGCTTTTTCTGTTTATGTGGTACTGAGGAATTGAACCCAAGGCTTCATGTATGTTAGTTAAGCACTCTTACCACTAAGCCACATTCTTAGCCCCTTTAGTATTGTTTACATGTATTTTCCCCTGAAGGTTATTGGGCACATTGACAGTGACCATGCTTCTCCTTTTCTTTAGTGTATCATAAACTTGGATAAGCACCGGCTGACCGTGGGGAAAACAGATAAAGAAGAAATCCCTTTTGTGGAGACAATTTCATTGAATGAAGACAAGTGAGTAGCCCAATTAGGTGAAATCAAATTCATTTATTCTGAGTTGGATCCTGAATTGTATCCTGTTGTCAGCTTTAAATCATACATAAGTCCATCCCTTTCTATTCCCAAAGTTTACTGTTCCATAAAACTGTGTAGTCCACACTTTAGAATGGGCAGCAATGATATTATGCAGAATGGTGGGAAAATGAGAAACCTTAAAAACAAAGTTTTATATGCCTTCAGCGTAACTCCTCTAAATCTGGTATCATTTCTTCTGATGTTTCTTTCTCATTTCAGCACTTCAGAAGCATAACCACAGCTTGCAGCATGTCTGCACAAGAGCATACATACCAGGTTGACAGATTGAGAAGACTGGGTTCGAACCAAATATAGTAGCAACTTGCTGTGGACCAAGTCCTTCCCTCCAATAGATGCTCGAGGAGCTCCTTCACACTCAGACCTTTCTAGACTATAGTCTGTGCTTAGAGATCTTGTCTGGTTATAGCCATTGTTTTTTACTCCTTTGATCATAGATCCTTTTAACACTGCCAGGTCTCACTTGTGGCCTATTTCTCTGCTTCTTCCAAGAATTTGCTTTTTTAGTCAAGTATACAGCTTCTATTTCTCAATAGATACTTGCTTCCTTTCTCATAGCTAAATGTATAATAAAAAGCAATCTGACCTTACCTCCTTTCAGCTGTTTCCAAGAAGTGTAGAAAACCAGTATCTTGAAATTAGAATCTCTTCTAACCGAATCATTGATTTCTCTAGTATGAAAGATGATCTTAAAGAGTCCAGAGAGATCATCTGGTACAAATCTTTCCTTTAACCATTGAGAAGCAAGTGAATCATCTGAAGTCATATATTAAGTCAGTGGTAAAAGCGACCAGAACTCATACCTGACTTCTAAGCTAAGGCTCCTATGCTGCTTCACTTGTTGCCAGGCTTTAAGGAGAAGGCAAGGATGTGACAGAGTGAAAAAATAAGGCAGGGTAAGAGAAGAGGATGCATGTGCACCTCTTTCCTGTATGCCAAGCCCACTAAAAGTTCCCTGCCCTAAAATGATACATTAGACCCTAATCTTGAGGGTCTAACGCCTGAGGGTACAAAGATTAATGAAATAATCTTTTCACTTTGAACTTCTCTAATAAGAGGAAGGCAAAGAAACATATCACAGACAGGAATAGTAATCCCTGAGATACAGTATCTGGGCACCATTGTGAAACATTACTCCCCCAATTCTGCCTAGCTTGTTATATATCTGACAAAAGCTCAGGAATCTGGAAATAGGGATAAAGAAGCGAAATGGAAAAATACTATTACAATGCCATAATAAAAGGAAATAGACTGAACAGAATCAATTAGTGGGGAGGCAGGCCTACCTGGGAAAACTTACCTGGGATAGAGGTAGGGAGTGAAATTCCAGGCTCATGATTAAAGGTTAGTAAACCCCTCAGTTCTGTCTTGCTGCAAGGAAAGAAGCAGGGCTACTAGTAGTATTATAATCTTTTATAACTGCCCAGTATTTCCTGATCCCTGTCAACGGGGTTGGGGAAATCATGGATTTACTAATTTTTTCATCTTATTTTCTGGATTCTTCTGTGTACGTGGTACTAAGGAATTGAACGCAGGGCTTCATGCATGCTAAGCAAGCACATTCCCAGCCCGAAATCACAGTTTTTGTTTTGTCGGTCATGGGGCTTGAACTCTGGGCCTGGGCACTGTCCCTCAGCTCTTCAGCTCAAGGCAAGTGCTCTACCACTTGAGCCACTCACCACTTCCAGTTTTCTAGTAGTTTATTGGAGATAAGAGTCTCACAGACTTTCCTGTCTGGGCTGGCTTTGAACCGTGATCCTCAGATCACAACTTCCTGAGTAGCTAGGATTACAGGCGTGAGCCACCAGTGTCTGGCCCGAAATCACAGTTTTAAAATAAAACTTTTTGATTAGGTTGTCAACTTAGGGAAATAGCTATTAGTATCTCTTTGGTATATTCTGAAGCCTTTGGTTCATAGCAGTAGTTCTCAGGTATTTAAAAAATCTTACTTTGAACCTTGCTAAGTACCACCAATTATCTTGTTTAATGTTCAGTTACTGCCTCTACTAGAAAACTTTGGTCGTGGGGCTGAGAAGGTGGCTCAGTGGTAGAGTGCTTGCCTTGCATGCAGAGGCCCTGGGTTTGATTCCTCAGCACCACATAAGCAGGAAAAAAAAAAGAAAACTTTGGTCGTATTTGGCCTTGCAGAAGCGCCCTAAAGTCCAGGAACTTGATAACGTGCATTTGAACAACTAGGCAGTCAGTTGTTACTGGGTCATTTCCTAGGCTGCCTTCCTGTCAGCTTCTAGAAAGGAAGCTAGATGGAAAGCTACCATAGGAGAGGCTATCCTGATGCTCAGTAGGGGTGGTCCCTGGGCTGCCAGCTGGTACACCAGCTAAACCTACTCCCTTACTTTGGAGAAACTGCTTCTTTCCACTGAAGTCTCTCCATAATCCTTTCCTTTCCACAGCAGTTTCTCTATATTCTTTGACTATCATAGTATCACTGACCTGCTTCTTACCCTAGCACAGAGCTGGAACACTTCATTCCTTCCCTTCTTGAAAGATCTACTCCAAGCATTGACTCTTAGCCACCATGAGGCATGCTACAAGTTCCTTCAGGTTTATCTTTTAGATTCCCTGTGGACCAAGTGAAGCTAAGTAATCTCAGGTTCGCTGGGCACTGGTGGCTCATGCCTGTAATCCTAGCAACTCTGGAGACTGGTATCTGAGGATGGCAGTTCAAAGCCAGCCACGGCAGGAAAGTCTGTGAGACTCTTATTTCCAAATAATCACCAGAAAACTGGAAGTGGCACTGTGGCTCGAAGTGTAAGAGTGCTAGCCTTGAGCAAAAAAGTTCAGGGGCAGTGCCCAGGTCCTGAGTTCAAGTTCCATAATGCCCTCCCCCCCCCAAAAAGAAAGAAATCTCAGGTTCTAAGAAGCTTCAACTGATTCTGGCCCTTAGAGTTCAGAAGTAGGGGATGATCCAGATGGCCATTAGTGTTCCTCTGGTCTCTAAAAATTGTTCAGTGATTTTCTAGTTTGGGAATAAAAACAGCTGGGTAAAGTAGGTTTCACATATCATAGTTTCACTCAATGTATTCAAATCATTTAAATTGTCTAACCATATAATTGAAGATTAAGATCCAGACTCGATAGAGGCACCAAAAATGTCTAAAGACAATTACAAGGATCTTAAGATCCATAACTTTTAATGCTGCCAAGTTGATTACTCTAATAGCCTCTTTCTTCCTGATATTCATGAGGTAGCACTAGGTTCACCTTTATGGGTGAAGTTAGTTCTTCCCTGATTCTTAAAAAATTATAGTGCCTCTGAGGATGTGGCAAAGTGTCTACCCAGGTCATAGTTATAATGATAGGAGGCTGGGAAGGTGGCTTAGCGGTAGAGTGCTTGCCTTGCATGCATGAGGCCCTAAGTTTGATTCCTCAGCACCACATAAGCAGAAAAAGCAGGAAGTGGTGCTGTGGCTCAAATGGTAGAGTGCTAGCCTTGAGCTGAAGAGCTGAGAGACAGCACCCAGGCTCAGAGTTAAGGCCCCATGACCGACAAAAAAAAATAGTTATGATGATAGGCAGTAGCAAGAAGTACCAGAAAACTTATTCTTTATTAGATGTCCATCTCCATCACAGAAGTTTGAAAAGTATTTTTATTGATTGGTATTTCTATGCTTGATTCATTTGAGGAATGACTATTCTAACTTTTCTATTTTCTTATCCTTCACAAACCCTACTTAGTATGATTTTCTATTTCTTATAGTATGTACAGAATGGATTACCCAGTGTGTGAACTGCCCGCACTCCTGTGTAATAGAATATCTTTTCTGTCTGGGAACATGAGGGAGATGAACTGGATTCCTCTCTCCTGTTACTAGGATTCTCTGCATTGGCACGTTATCTACTGTTTCTGCCTGTGCTGTTTATTTGTGAGACTGATATTAACAATAAAGTGATATATTCCCTCTGTGGCTTGTCATAGTCTGTGTTTCAGGGCCCCAACCTGGAAGGTGTAGGAGCCCAAGTATAGTGAATTGCATCAGTATTTCTCTTTTATGATCATTTTGAACACAAGGCTGTGGGTGCTTGGTTTCTCCATAGCTTCTAATTCTGCAGCTCCTTCTTACTGTCTTTGTGTCTTTGGGGGCAATTAGTGAACTTCACTGACTTGGTTTTATATTCTACAAAACAGAAGTGATAATAGTACTGAACCCACAATATCAAATGAGATAATCCATGTAAAGTGGTCTGCTTATGGATAGTCACCAAAGCTTCATTTATAAGAACAATTTATGGTGGGTCAATCAACAGTGCACAACTCTGAGAAGCTTTGAAAGGGAAAGGGTGAATGAACCTTAATATATAGTTAAAGTGGTTCAAATGAGCAGGCACTGGTGGCTCACACCTGTAATCATAGCTATTCAGGAGGCTGAGATCTGAGGATTGCAGTTCAAAGTCAGCCCATGCAGGAAAGTCTTTGAGACTCTTATCTCCAGTTAACCACCAGAAAACCAGAAGTGGTACTATGGCTCAAGTGGTAGTTTTTTACTTTGTGGGTGGGTCTTTGGTAACTATTCCATTCTGCCATTATAGCATAAAGTAGCCACAGGCAGTATGTGAATTCAGATTTTCACATAATATTTTTTACATGTTATGATATCATGTTATTTGTCTCACCCATTTAAAAGTATTAAAATTATCCTCAGGTTGTGAGTTATACAGAAACAGTTTGGCTACAGACTATATGGTTTTCCGTGCTATGTCCTAAAGTAATTCATAGTTTCTCCTTTCTCCTAAGATTTTAAAACCTTCCTCCTGGTTCTCACTTGCTTCTATTCATGAAATGGAATACCTACCACACCATAAAACTCTGCCCTCTTACTAACATCTGTATGCATATATTGTGTTTCCGTTTTGTTATTAATACAGAATACTTGTTTATCCCCCCAACATAGTTTTGATCATTGATATATACCCAGTACTCAGAAGTATTTAACAAATATTTGAATGAGCACTAGCTACTGAGCAGCAGCTATAAATTTAGACAATTTTTTCTCCAAAGAAATTAATTTCCCTTTCCAAGAGAAAAGACCTACTTTCTCCTGACAATCGAAGATTTCTTGATCATGCTAAGTGGTATTTTTTTTTAAATTAAATACAGGGGGCTGGGAAGGTGGCTCAGTGGTAGAGCACTTGCCTTGCATGCCTGAGGCCCTGGGTTCGATTCCTCAGCACCACATAAGCAAAAAGAAAAAAAAGCCAGAAGTGGCGCTGTGGCTCAAGTGGTAGAGCGTATCCTTGAGCTGAGGGACAGCACCCAGGCCCAGAGTTCAGGCCCCACGACCGGACCCTCCCCCCAAAAAATTAAATACAATAAATTATTTTATGGGATTGACCCATAATGTGTATTGAGGGGTGTGTGTGTGTGTGTTGTGTGTGTGTGTGTGTGTGTGTGTGTGTATGTATGTGTGTGTGTTCTGTCATAACTACTGGACACACAATTCAAAGGAATTATCATCACTGATGCTATACATGACTCCATTTTTTTCCTGGTCTGGTGTTTGGCGTAGATATAAAGGATGGGGTAAAGGAGTAAGAAAGAAAGGAACATGCAGACAGCTAATTTATCACTGGAGGGGAATGTAGCTGCAGACAGCCTTGGTCCCAGATACATTTGTCTCAGATTTTGTGTGTGTTTATGTGTATAATAACCTTGGCTTCCTAACCTTCTCACTTTATTTAAATTTAAATAAAGTCGTCTTTTTATCGCCATAAAGTGAGAGAATCCAGGTGAGAGGGTACAACTGGACCATTGTAACTTAAGTAGATTAGGGCTGGAGATGTAACTCACTGCTAAAGTTAAACCGCATGAGACCTTGGGGTTGATCTTTAGCACTACGAGAGAAAAACATTTAAAATAAGAGAGAAATAGAGTAGGAAAACTTAGTTACAAGTAAGCAAGAAAAACAGGGAGAATAGATACCAAAGCCAATTCAGCATATAAATAAAACTCCATAGTGATCCTAGGTCATTAATCTTTCCCTGCCTACTATCTGCCCTGTTTCAGGTTCCATTTGGACACCTTAGTGTCATCTCCCATAGTTAGAAATCAAATAAGAGAAATGAATCATGTAAGTGCTTGATACTTTTTTTTTAACTGATTAGAGGAGTATCCTACTCCTTTTCCCTTTCCCAGGTCTCTACTTCTATTGTTTTGATGTCAATGTTCAAATTGCTAGCAATATTTGGTGCAAGTTGAGAATATAAAGGTATACACGAAAACCTAATTTTATCATAATGGAGTTAGGAAAAAAATGTGTATTAATATAGAAGAGTATGCTTGTTAGGAAGGTTTTCTGATATAAGAGATCCCTGGCCTAAAGAAAAGCACTAAAAGGTATAAGCAGAACCCAACCCTATCCAGTCACCTAGAATGACACTTTTTTTGTCAGATGTAGATCCCTCAAACCTACTGTTCTACCTATGCCAGTTACTCTCTGTCACTGATTTTTTTCACCTTGTTTAGCATCTTCATTTAGTCTGCAGTCACATAGTAATCTTATAGTCACACTTCATTAATGGAAGCTACATGGTATATTCTACCTAATATAAAATGGTCTAAGAACCAAATCTCAAAAGTCAAAAAACTAAAATTTAATAATTTAACCCAACACCTCCAAAATAAGCTTTAATCAGCATCTTAAAATTAAAATGTTTTACACGTAAAGTCTTTAAAAGCCATGGGTATTTTGCATTTACAGCATATTTGTACTTAAACTATACACACTTAGTGGGTAGTAATTGGACAGGGCAGCTCTTATTTGGTGTTTCTCCACTAAACTAATGAGGTCAACCTTTCATAGTGGCTCATGCCTATAGTCCCAGCTATTCAAGAAAGCAAAGAAGGAGGATCCCTTCAGCCCACAAGTTTGAGACTAGCCTGGGTAACACAGACCTCCTCTCTGAATGACTGAATGTGCCCATTTAACAGAGACATTACTCTATATAATTTTCTATGAACCTCTGTACCCACAACAACACTTTGGAAAAAACATCGTATGTATGCCAATACTGGGGCTTAAACTTAAGAATGAGGGCCCTTCCCTCAGCTTTTTTTTTTGCTAAAGGCTGGTGCTCTACCACTTGAGCTACCTCCACTTTTGGCTTTTCATTGGTTAACTGGAGATAAGAATCTCTTAGACTTTTCTGCCTGGGCTGGCTTCAAACTGCAATCATCAAATCTGAGCCTCCTGGGTAGCTAGAATGACAGGCATGACCCACTAGAATCTAGCTCTGGAACAATTTTGGTGGAAGAGAAGGCCTATGAGATTCTAGACAATCCCAAACTGGCCTTAGATTTGTTACCAAATCTAATTTTAGCAATCAGATTCACAATGATAGGGTACTACACCAATACATTTGACCAGGGTCTCTCTAGGTAGACCTCAAGCCAGCAGAATACCACAAGATGTCACAACATCTTCATGGGAGAAGGGTAAGAAGGCATTGAATACTGCTGATCTGGCTCTGGTTGGGGCTTGCCATTGTCTTTGGGGGATGAAATGAGCTAAATATATTTAGTGCAATAGCACCTTGTGTTAGATTCTGACCTAACCATCAACAAGAATCACATGAGAGAGAAAAAAAAATGCTGAGAAAGTTCTACCTGTTAATTAAAACATTGCCACAAGCTAGAAAAGGAACACTTTTTTTTTTTTTTTTTTGAAGGAAGGACATATACAGGGGATAAACAGAGGGCCTTGCACTTGTTAGGCAAATGCTCTACTTGTGCTTCCTTGGAGATGACAGGCACCTACTGCTGCATCCAGCCATTGTTTCCTCAGTAGCTGGGATAACAGGCACTATGGATTCCCCATCTCCATCTCCAAATAACTAGGATTACAGGTTCGAGTCACCATGCCGGACCAGAAAAAAAAATCGATTTTAATACCTGTTTGTAAAAAGAGAAAGAAATATGGGTTTCATTGGACATTTTGAAATTCATAGAATTCAATTCCCCCCTTTTGAGCCAGAAACCAAAGACCCAGAAAAGGGTAGTGATCTGACCAAAGTCATTTGAAAATCCCTAGAGGTTGTGAGGCACCACGTATCCCTTCCACTACCTCCAAAGTCCCCACTAACTGAAAAACATCTGACAGAAGATACCGTGTCCTCTCTAGGGTGCTCCTCAACTACCCGAGAGAACTCAGACGAGGTCGCACCCAGAGGAGGTCAGTGCTCTCCCAGCTGATTTGGGGGTCGGCCGCTCTAAGTAAGCGCGGCCTTCCCGGGGCGTAGCGGCCCCCCTCCAGGAATCCTGGGCGGAGGATCCCGCTGGGCGGTTCCTTGGCGCGCTCCCCACGGTCGGGAGCCCGGCCGGGGCCGGCCCAGCTCCTCCGCGGCAGGCTGCGTCCAGGCTGCGGGCTGAACCACCGCGCTCCACCGGAGCGGAGGCCACGCCCACACGCGCAGCTCCAGCAGACGGCGGGGGACTCGCGGGGAGCTGCGTCCGGAGGCCCGGGGGCCCCAGGTTTGTACCCCAAGCGCAGGAGACCACCCTCCACGAGGGTGGGCTTCCCGGGAAGGGATGCCTGGCCCGGCCCCGCCGCGTCCCCGAGGCTGGCTTGCCCGGCCTCAGTGGTCCTTTCAGCCATTCCTGAGGGGGCCGACGTCTAACCCCGCGTCCAGGGGCGGGGCGTGAGCGGCTCCGGCCCCGCACGGAATGTTAGAGCCTCGGGTCAGCCGTCCCGAGCGTACTGAGGACCCCCTCAGTTCGAGAACTTTCCAGCGAATTGACACCGCCTCCGGCCCCCGCTGCCTCGGCGCGGGGGAGGATACCCGGGCGCCGGAGCGTTCTGCGAGGCCTCGGTAGCCGCCCCAAGGCAGATTCCTCCGGGCCGGGCCGGGCCGGGCGCCGGGACCGCGCGGCCTCCGGGCCTTTCGTACCGGGAACCGTTTCCGGGGCGGAGACTTTTTTGCAGCTGACCCGGCACGGCGGGTGACGCGAAGGCCCAGGCGGAAGTGCGGGCGGCGGATCCGGAGTCGGATCCCGGGCCAGGAGCCGGGTCTGTGGGCTCCAAGCTGGGGTTGGTTGGGGTGCCGCCATGGCGACCCTGTGGTGGGGAGGCCTCCTGCGGCTCGGCTCGGTGCTCAGCCTGTCCTGCCTGGCGCTCTCCTTGCTGCTGCTGGTGCAGCTGACAGACGCGGCCAAGGTGAGTCCCGCCCAGCTGTGGCTCCTGACAGGAGCTCCTCCCTGGCCTCTGGTCCGGCGGAAGCTGAGTCTGTCCACCTGCTCCCCGGTCCAGTTCTCGCCCAGTCCTCACCGCCAGACCCCTGGCTTTCCAGGCCCGGACCCCCCCCCCCCATGCCCTCCTAGGGCCGGCTCAGCCCCCACGGCCTCCCCCGGTCCTGTCAGTGCCCACTGGACAGCCAGTCCCCTTCCCGGCCCCGACTGACCCACCGCACGCTACAGCGTTCCCGCTCTGCGGGCTGCAACCTTAACCCAGCACCCCCTTGCTCAGCCCCTCGGCCTCTCCGCCCGCCCCCGCCCCCGTGGCCCGGGGAAAACTAACCCCCTCAACGCATTCCTGCACCCATTCTCTTCCCCCTGCGGGGACTCGCTTCTCCTGGCAGCCCCCCCTTCCCTAGAGGCGCTACAGTGTCTCCCCAGCTTGGTCTTCTCACCTAACCTTCTGGACCTTCCGGACCTTGCGGTCCCCACCCCGCCTCCCCCGGCCGCCTGCTTCTCGATTGCTAACTTAAGGAGTAAGGGAAGAACCAAACTACAGGAGAAGTGAGGTTGTAGTGTTTGCCCGTGTCCATTTCTTGACCTTCTCTGGTGCCTGATGCTTATGTACTAATGTGCTTCTCCTCTGATGCGCTAATTCATTATTGGGCAACATGGAGGGATTTACATTAGTATCACGGGAAAACATGCTATTGCAGTTTTTAAATTAGGAGCTTTTATCTATAATATATTTAAATGCAAGTGCTGAGAAAGACAGGTTACAGACAGGTAGATGGTGTTTGATGGGAGTTCTTTAGAAATTTTCCTGACCTCCCACCATAAATAGGGACAGTTGAGATTCTTGACTCTCCTGACTTTCAAAAATATTGCGGCACCATCTCCTTCTGCCCATCATTTTAGGTAGTATATCATCATCATATATTTATCAGTCTCCCCTTATTAGGGCGTATCCTAATGGGCAGGAGCTATGCCTTATGCTTATCTTGAGTCGGCCTCACCGAGCCTAAGATCTGGCCCAGAGCAAGTGAATACTAAGTGGTTGATGAATAAGCTTATGAACAACAGCTCTGTGGAGGAATCACTGTGTATAGGAGCAGTGGGCATGGTTCTGTATTGTCTGAGCCAATGCCTTCTCAAATTCCCACTGCCAAGGAAGCTTCTCTCGCTCTCTCAATCCAGATATGTAATCACCTCCTCCTGTGCCTCCTGAAACTGGTTTTGCTGGTAGTCATCCTCTCTACGAACCAAGGAATGGAAGCAGAGTTTCCTAGGAATAGACCAAACTGATCTCTGCTAGAATCAAGCAACTTCTACTTCTCCTATTTACTACAAAAACTAGAAATTTATAATTAAGTGGCTCTAAAACTTCATTCGTTCCATGATATTCTAACTCCAACCTTTTTTAATTCCTATCAGTACCTCTTTATGAAAGGATGGTAGGGGCTGGGAAGTTGGCTCAGGGGTAGAGCGCTTGCCTGGCATGCATGAGGCCCTGGTTCAATTTCTCAGCACCACATAAGCAGAAAAAAGTTGGAAGTGAGCTGGGCACCGGTGGCTCACACCTGTAATCCTAGCTACTCAGGAGACTGAGATCCGAGGATCACTGTTCAAAGCCAGCCCGGGCAGGAAAGTACTGTGGCTCAAGTGGTAGAGCACTAGCCTTGAGCTGAAGAGCTCAGGGACAGTGTCCAGGCCCCAGAGTTCAGCCCCCATGACTGACAGACAAAAAAAAAAGGATGGTAGAGGAACTGTGTGTGTATACATGTGTGCACACATGCTAAGCACATGTTCTACCATTGATCTACATCCCTAGTCCAGAAATTGTGATTTGTGAGTCATTTGTAGTTTGATTCTCCCTCATCCTTTTGTAATCAACTGTATTTATAGGCATAACTGTTTGTCAACTATATGTCTTTTTATTGGCAGGTGGATGGTACTGTTAATACCATTTGATTGCCATATGACCCATAAATATGATTAATAAGTCACTGGTTTTAGAATACCTGATAAGTGATGGTGATAAACCACAAACGAGTTAAACTGTTTCTGTTTTGGTTACAGAATTTTGAGGATGTCCGGTGTAAATGTATCTGCCCGCCCTATAAAGAGAATTCTGGGCAAATTTATAATAAGAACATATCACAAAAAGATTGGTAAGTATTCTGGATCATTTCTCTTTTTTTAATTTTCTTTTTTTGTTTTGTTTGGTTGGTCGTGGGGCTTGAACTCTGGGCCTGGGTTCTGTCCCTCAGCTCTTCAGCTCAAGACTAGCACTCTACCACTTGAGCAACAGGTCCACTTCCTGTTTTCTGGTGGTTAATTGGAGATAAGAATCTCACTGACTTTCCTACCTGGGCTGGCTTTGAACCATGATCCTCAGATCTCAGCCTCCTGAATAGCTAGGATTACAGGTGTGAGCCACTGGTACCTGGCTTTACCTGCCAAATTTCTTTCTGTGTTTGTCGCTGTTAATTCAGAATATTCATCCAATATATAATTCTTGTAAAATATTTCTAATCAAAAGTGTCAAGTTCTATTTCCATTTGGAAAAGTGAGTGTAAGGCCTGGTGTAAGGCATGATGTAAACCTAAAGTAGTATGCTAGCCCAAACAGTAAGCCCTAGGTAGGAAAGATCTCTTATGAAGATGGGCCTGAGTTTACGATACCTAACCTATCCATAGCTGCCTTACTGTGCCCTTTGTTACTTTTCAGTGATTGGTAAATGAGCCTCAATCTATTATAGTTTTTACAGTGTGTAACTTTTCTGGAGTTGTTTGTTGTTGTATTTTTTGTTGGGATTTTTTGTTGTTACTTTCCTCCCTCCCTCCCTCTCTCTTTTCCTTCCTTCCTTCCTTCCTTTCTTCCTCTCTTCCTCTTTCTTTCTTTTCTCTTCTTTCCTTTTCTTTTCTCTTTCTTGCTAATTTCTAGGGCTTTAACTTGGCCTGGGCACTGCCTGTGAATGTTTTTTTGCTCATGATTAGCATTCTATCACCTGAGCTACTGCTCCATGATAAGAGTCTCATGAACTTTGCTGCCCAGTCTGACTTCAAACCATCATCCTCAGATCTCAGCCTCCTGAGTAGCTAGGATTACAAGGGTGTGCCACCAGTACCTAGCTGTTAACTTGGTTTTTTGAGATAGGGTCTTGATACATAGCTCAGATTGGCTTGATGTTCACTACATAGTACAAACTGGCCTCAAATTCTCAGTCCTCCTGCATCTACCTCCATAGTACCAGGATTATAAGTATAGACCACCATATACAGCCACAGTATAAAGTTTTAGTTACATATTACCCAATATGGGAGGTTCAGGGAATTAACTATATTTGTCAGAGTGTGTCATTTGATGTGTGTAAATGAGCTATAGTATGCCAAGATAATGATCTCTTCAGCCCTTAAGCAGTCAGACAGACTGCTAACAACTAGAATCCTGACTGGCTATCCAGCCACAGTAGCCTTTGTTTATTCTAATGGCCCTTACGAAGGGTAGCTTTTTCTACACTTTTCCTACATGTACGCTTAAACAATTGGGAAACAGTTATATTAAGGCTGGATGGATGTGCTCCATCCTGTGGAACTGTGGTAGTATATAATTTGTAACCACAATGAAAGATTAGGAAAAATCCAAGGAAAATAGCTCCAGATACTCACAGGTACTTTTATGTATGCCTGATTTCACAATTTAGTAGTTAGCAAAGAGTCTCAAAGCAAGATTTCAGTCACAATATTCCACACTAACTTTATTTATTTATTTATTTATTTATTTGGGGGGGGGGGTCCAGTCATGGGGCCTGAACTCTGGGCCTGGGTGCTGTCCCTCAGCTCTTCAGCTCAAGGCTAGCACTCTACCACTTGAGCCATAGCGCCACTTCCGGCTTTTTTCTTTTTGCTTATGTGGTGCTGAGGAATCGAACCCAGAGCCTCAGGCATGCAAGGTAAACACTCTACCACTGAGCCACCTTCCCAGCCCTCCACACTAACTTTAAAGAAGAGGTATTCTTTGAGCATGTTTGATTTCTCTGATGCCATTTTTTTTCTTTTCTTTTGTGTGTGGGGGGTTTTTGTTTTTTGTTTTTTTGTGTTTTTTTGGCCTGGGACTTGAACTCAGGGTCTGGGCACTGTCCTTGAGCTTCTTTTTGCTCAAGGCTAACACTCTACCACTTGACCCACAGCACCACTTCTGGCTTTTTCTGTTTATGTAGTACTGAGGCATGCAGCCCAAGGCTTCATGCATGCTAGGCAAGCACTCTACCACTAAGCCATACTCCCAGCCCTGCCGTTGTTTATTCTTCCTATGATAAGATTTTGGGTTTAGTCTATTAGTTTTTTTTCCTTTTTTTAAATTATCTTTAAGTAGTTGTACAAAGAAGTTCCCATTCTACAAACCAGTATATGAGTACAAAGTGTCTGACAATATTGTCACCCATCTCTCTTAACCCATCCCTTCTCTCACTTTTTTCTTTAGTTGAGATTAGGTGATTACATAAATTTCACATATTTCACAGTTTTGTGGAGTTAGAGTCACAAACACATTTTAACTTTCACAGCGCAAATTGTCATTATCATGGTCTATACAGTTTGTCTGTTAGTTCTTGAGAACTCTTTGTGGACTTCTGTTTTCCAGTTTAAAAGGTTTCACATTGCAAAGTGATTTGGCTATATAGGTTTTATATCAACAAGTTACTGTATATAATGAAAAATAAAGCTCAAATGCTCTTTCTTTTTTTCCTCTTGTATAGAGTCTAGGGCCTTGCAAATTCTAGTCAAGCGCTCCACCACTAAGTTACATCCCTAGCTCTCAAATCTTTAAATTACTTCTATAAATTTTCCAAGGATATTGAATATTGCCCATCAGTTTATTTTATTATCAGTAATAAAATTTGATGGCTACTATTTGAGTGGCAAATGAACTCACTTTTCAAGTGTTTAATGCTAATATTTTCCATATGTTGTCTACATCAGGTTATTAGTCAAAACAAGGAGTTTTGAAAAGAAATACTTAAGCAGTGTTTGTTTGCTATCTTTTTCTCCTCCTTGTCACTTTCCCTTGCCTTCTTACAGCTTAGCCTTTTATTAGAGTAAGTTTCCAATTGACACTGGAGATTTTTAACTGGCTTTAGAAAGGCATACCACTTACGATCAGTCAGCATATTATGGCTTCATGAGGGCCTGTGCCCCATCTGTCAGTCAGGTCTCACCTTCTGTTTTCTAAGACCCTCCATTTTTCCAGTTGTTAGCTTTCACTGCCTTCTTCACTGCCCTATTTTGGATAATTTAATACAGGAACAGTTAATTTTCTAGTTGGTTTGGGGTATTATTCAAAGTTAAAAATGTCTTTTGGCACTAGGGGGAGGTATTGCCTAGTTTCTAAAAATGTTTGCACAGTGTGTGTGACTGGCCTTGTCTGAACAAACCTTCTGTTGCTTCTTCAACCCTACATATTTTTTTTCCTTTTCCTGTGTGTGTGTGTGTGTGTGTCTTGTTTGTTTTATTTTGAAACAGGGTCTTATTTTATAAGCCAGAACCAGTTCTCAATCTTCCTTCCTCAGCCTCCTGTACACCTTTTATATTAGAATGTATTTGTCCTTGAAAGGAAATTTACTCAACATAGATTCCTAAGTAATCCATAGGTATTGCTGTTCAGACTTGTGAACCTGGGATAGGGAGCTAATAGGAAATAAGTGTCATTTTCCTGAGGTTTGGAGAGATAAGAAGGACTTACCTGTACAGCAGGAGAACTGGATCTTTGTCCTTTTTCAGCTACTGATTTACTCTCTACCTGTGTACAGGTGTTGATCTTGATGACCTCCTCTGATTTTGAAATGGAGGGCCTTTTAGGGACTTTTCCTTCCTCTGCACAATTTATGCTTGAGTTAATTAAATACATGCTTGGGCTTGCATGACAGGGATAAATAACCACACTTCTATGGTGTGAGTTGTGAGACTTTATCTAAAATTCTGCTGGTGGAGATTTAGTTTTTTCTTTCCTTTTCTTTTAATAAATAAGGAATGATGTTCTTGGAGACAGGATCTTGCTATATAGTCCAGGCTGAACTCAAACTTTCCATTCTTCTGCCCCCAGCTTTCCAAATGCTGGGGATTACCACACCAAGCTGAGGTTCAATTTTTCATTACTATCTGTTACAATTAAGCTACTGGTTATGAATCAGTGAACATTTTAACTTTTTAATGTCAGTTTAAAGGGCATTTTGATAGGAGAAGGAATCAATCTAGAGTGCTGAGTGCTCCCAAAAGGAATGGATGGAATAGGATAGGATGCGGTAGTAAAGTTTTGAAGCAGCTAGAAATGCCCAACAAAGACATGCCAAAGGGGAAGAAAATTGCCCAGCAGCTGGCAGGACAGGGAAGCTTCACTACTTTGTTTGAAGGTGTTCAGAGTACTAGAGTTATAGAAAAAGGTGGTCAGAGTAATAGCTAAGGAGAAAATTCATACAGTTCTTAGACTTGTAATTTTTCTGAGAAAGGATATTTTTGATAGCCCTGCCTTTTATACATACACACACGCATATATATACATATATATATACACATATATACATATATATATATATACATACATACATACATACATCCTTATTTTTTTTATATCCTTCAAGGTAGAAAGTCAAAATACTTTTATGTCCTGTTTTTACTTCTATAGTCTTTTGTTCATTGAGAAAACAATTATTTCCTACTCTGGCTTCAAGTATTTAATTCCAGAGTTTCATAATTTGCCCTCTGTTAAGTGTATTGTGACAGTTAAGAATGATGTTAGTTCATAAAAGATAATCTCATATTTAAACAATGTTCCATGTCACTGTAAATCCTTTAAAGTACTTTTACTTGGTAGTTGAGAAAGTCTAAATATGACTTGATTTGTTGAGTAGTTTTTTATTCCATTTTGGGATTTTTCCAATTATATTTGAAAATGATAACAATAGCAATTTGAAAATTGCTGGGCATTGGTGGTTTATGCTTGTAATCCTAGCTACTCAGGAGTCTGAGATCTCTGAAGATTGAAATTCAAAGCTAGCCTCAACCAGAAAGTCCATGAAACACCTATCTCCATTAACCAACAAAAAAAGCCAGAAGTGGAGCTGTGGCTCAAGTAGTAGACTGCTAGCCTTGAGCACAAAAGCTCAGGGATAGCACTCAAGACCTGAGTTCAAGGCCCAGGACTAGCACCAAAAAAAAAAAAAAAAGGAATAGATAATAGATAGCTACTGCATATATATATCTTTATTGATTGTTAGACTGTTGGTTTTAGCAAAATGCTACAGTTGAGACAGGAAACTTTACTTTGGTTTATTACTTATCCCTTACATTCTTTTTATTGGATAAAACCAGTGATTATTCTGGACTTCAGGAAACGTCTGATGAGTGAAAGTAGAACATCAGGCAAGGCTTAAGCAGTTTTTTTTCCTGTTTCTCCAGTGACTGTCTTCATGTTGTGGAGCCCATGCCTGTGCGGGGACCTGACGTAGAAGCATATTGTCTGCGCTGTGAATGCAAATATGAGGAGAGAAGCTCTGTCACAATCAAGGTAAAATAAACACACATACACACACACACACACAGAGAGTCTTCATATAAGAAAATATTCTAGACTTTTCCCCAGAAGGAGTAATGGGCCTAGTTGAGATGCTTTCCAGATTACTTAGGATATGTTGGATAGAATGAATTTGCATAAAATGTGCTATATTTAGCTAGAACATTCCAGAAAGAAATTCTTATTTCTCTCCTTATAAACTAATAGTGAGACAGCAGAATGAGTAAGCATTCTTTTCCCCACCCTCCAACTGTTTGAATAAATTATATTTATAGTACCTATTCTAGAAGCATTACTTTGGGATTTTATGATTTTCCTTCTTTAATAGTATAGGAAATGGAATGTAGATAGCTCATCAACATTTGGATCTCTGATGAATTCATTTACTTTGTTATGGTGTCAAATGGTTGTTTTCTCCACACATATTTTAATTAATTTATTTTTTGTGCCAGTATTGAAGTACAAAATGTATGAACTTGATGCTTCATGCTTTTGCTGGGATTTTTCACCCAACACTGGCTCTCTACCACTTGAACCATGCCTCTATTTCAGCTTTTTAAAAAAATACTGCAAATAATTTTGTTTGAAACAAAATGAACCATTGATAAGAAACAATTAAATACATAGCAGACATGCTTACCACACTATTTCACATTCTTTTTTTTTATGAGTACAACATCTTGATCAATGTCATGTCTTTGAACATTTTCACCCCTCTCTCCTAATCTACCCTTTCCCTCACTTCCTCACTTTTTTTTTTTTTTTTTTTGGGGGGGGGGGTCCGGTTGTGGGGCCTGAACTCTGGGCCTGGGCGCTGTCCCTCAGCTCTTCAGCTTAAGGCTAGTGCTCTACCACTTGAGTCACAGTGCCACTCCGGGTTTTTTCTTTTTGCTTATGTGGTGCTGAGGGATGGAACCCAGGGCCTCAGGAATGCAAGGCAAGCTCTCTACCACTGAGCCAACTTCCCAGCCCTCCCTCACTTTTTTTTAATGTTGTAGGATATAAACTTAATTCTTGACTGTCTTCTCCTCACCTCCTCTTCACCTTCTCCTTTCCCCTTGACCATACCCCACCCCTTTCAAGTACCCCATGTGTTTATTTTGTTGAACTTTGATTTTGCCTTTCTAAAGAATTATTCTACTTAAGTTCTCCCTTGAATCTACTATATGTCAGTTAGTATGTTTGTATGCTGGTCAACTGAAGATAAGAGTCTCTCAGACTTTTCTGCCCAGGATGGCTTTGAACTGCTAGTCTAAGATCTAAGCCTGAGTAGCTAGAGTTATAGACATGAGCTACTAGCACCTAACTTTTCTCCATAAATATTTCATATGCTACTTCCCATTCCTTTTCTCAAAAAAGGGCTTGGTGGTAGATCTTGGGTCTTAGGAGTCACAAAAGATTTCTTTTCTGATTGACCTTGCAGGAAAGCTCCTGTTTCAATAGGGTGTGGTACTGAAGAGAAATCTTCACTGTATTTGAGTTATTTTGTTTGTTTTTGTAGTTATTTTTAGTGTAGGAGATAGAACCCAGGGACTATATGTTCTAGACAATATTCTACCACTGAGTTACAAACCCAGCCCTTATATTTCATTTTTAAACAAATTTTGAATGTATATGTGTGTGTGTCTGTGTGTGTGAGTACTAGGACTTGAACTCAAGACTGTGCTCTCGCTCAGCTTCTTTGCTCAAGGCTGAGCCACTCTACCAGTTGAGCCACACCTCCAGTCCAACTTTTTTGCTAGTTAATTGGAGATAATGTTTCTCAGATTTTTCTTCACTGGGTGGCTTCAAATCATGATCCTCAGATCTCATCCTTCTGAGTAGCTAAGATTACAAGTGTGATCCATCAGCAGCTGGCTTAAGAGATTTTTGGATGTGTAATGATATACCCTAAAATTTATATTCACCAAAATTCACTCAGTTTAGGTCTATAGTTCTACAAATAAATTTAAAAGAACTTTAGCCAGACATAATTATACACACCTGTCACCCTTGCACTTGCGAGGCTGAAGCAGGATGATTGTGAGTTTGAGACTAGCCTGTGCTTCAACAAGGCAATTTTTCTAAATCTGTTTGTTTTTGTTGGTGGTAGTGGTGGTGCTTGGTTTGAACTTAGAGCCTTGTGCTTGGTAGGCAGGTACTAGACTTCTGGACATACCTCCAACCCATTTATTTATTTATTTATTTTTAATTTTATGAGGGCTCTGAGCACTATCCTTGAGCTTTATTTGCTCAAGGCTAACACTCTACCACTTGAGCCACAGCGCCACTTTGGGCTTTTTCTCTTTATGTGGTGCTGAGGAATCCAAGCCAGGGCTTCATGCATACTGGACAAGCACTCTACCACTAGGCCACCTTCCCAGCCTCCAGCACTTTTAATGAGTTAAGATTTTAATTCCTGCCCAGGCATGTGCCTATTTTAGGCTTTTTGTCATAGCTTGGATAACAAGTACATGCCATCACAGCTAGCTATGGCTTAGGAAGGGGATCTCTCCATCTTTTCTGCCTGGGCTGGCCTTGAACTGTGATCCTCACATTTTCAGCTTCCTAAGCAGCTAGAATTACAGCTGAGAGCCAGCAATACGTGGCTTTTCCATGTTTTGTTTTTAGATAGGGTCTAGTGCTCTTTGTCCTAGGCTGTCTTGGTACAAGATCCTCCTAACCTTTTTTAACTGGGATTATAGGCTTGAACTACCGTGCCTCGTTTGTTTGTTCAGAGGTCTTGCTTTTTGTCTGGCTGGCCTTGAGCTGCAGTACTCCCCATCTCTGCCTCCTGAATAGAGCTGGGATTACAGGTTAAAATTCAATTTTAAAAGAAATGGGATTAAAATTGAGTTTCAAGTTGTCCAAATAGTCCCTAGTTTCAAACAATCCCTATTTCATTTTGTTTGTATACATCTGAACATTTCATATAAATGGAAGATTGATGTAATCAGTGACTGGCTTCTTTTACTTGGCATAATATTTTTTTAAATTTTTATCTATGTTATAGCATGTATCACTACTTCATTTTATTAATAAATAGTATTCCATTATATGAATATCTATCAGTTGATGACTACTTGGATTGTTTCCAGATTTATTTTGATTAATACTGGCCTGATTATCTGCATGCATATTTTTGTGTAGATAGGTTTCCCTTTCTCTTAGAATGGTAAGTTTATGTTTAATTGTTCAACAGTCAGCCAGAGTATTTTCCAAAGTGGTTGTACCATTTTACCAGCAGTGTGTGAGGGCTCTGTTTCTTCATTTACATGCCAGCAATTTATTGTCTGGTTTGATATTGTCTATTATCCTAATGTAGTACTTTTAGTTAATGTATGAGCTAAAATATCACAAGAGCTGGCCTAAAAACTGTTTTTTGCAGCCTCAAGTTGATCTACAGGAGTAGACTGTTGCAGTTCACTTGAATTGCATTTTGATTAGTATCCAGAGTGCTACTGAATCTAGAATACTGTTCAACAGAAATAGGAAGTGCTGTCCTGGCACTGGTAACAGATGATTAGCAATAAGTAGAGATGGAGCCTTGAAGACTCATAAGAAGATACCAAAGCTTTCACTAATACTTTGGTGAAAAGTTGAATTTCTTATATTAGAATCTGGTTGATACAGAAATATCCTATATGTTTAATAGATAAATCATTCTCCACTGTGGTTTTACTCTTATACAAGATTCTGATTTCTTGGCTTGAACAGAGCTGCAACTTTACTTTTAATTTCTTTTAGGTTACCATTATAATTTACCTTTCCATTTTGGGACTCCTACTTCTGTATATGGTGTATCTTACCCTGATTGAGCCCATACTGAAGAGACGCCTCTTTGGACACTCACAATTGATACAGAGTGATGACGATGTTGGGGTAAGTTCCCAGCCTGCCCTTGCTGCTGAAAAGTCATTAATGTGGAATTTGGAATGATGCTCCTTGGTGATGGTGCTGTGCCAAACTTTGCCCTGTTTATATTGAGAAAAGCATCTAAGGTAGTTTTTCCCCCAATCTCTTGTCCTGAACATCTTTCCTATAATAGTACCTAATGCTGTGGAAGGCAAAGAGGGTTTACTGAAGGAGAGTGTGAAGACCATGGCTTTCTTTCCTTATTATGTGTTCCTATTTTCCTCTAGATCTTCCTCTTACCTTTTTTTTTTTTTTTTTTTGGTCCGGTCGTGGGGCCTGAACTCTGGGCCTGGGCGCTGTCCCTCAGCTCTTCAGCTCAAGACTAGCACTCTACCACTTGAGCCACAGCGCCACTTCCAGCTCTTTTCTTTTTGCTTATGTGATGCTGAGGAATCGAACCCAGGGCCTCATGTATGCAAGGCAAGAGCTCTACCATTGAGCCACCTTCCAGCCCCTCTCCTCTTTAAAACACATTTATCTTTGTACATATAGTTACGTAAATTGCTGTTGTCTTTTTTTGTTGTTGTTTTAACATTACTTCATTTTAAAATGTCTGGAAATGGACATACTCCACAAGCTTGTCATTTAATATACATTAAGATTTATATTGTTGCCGGGCGCCGGTGGCTCACGCCTGTAATCCTAGCTACTCAGGAGGCTGAGATCTGAGAATCGCGGTTCAAAGCCAGCCCGGGCAGAAAAGACCGTGAGACTCCTATCTCCAATAAACCACTAAAGGAAGTGGCGCTGTAGCTCAAGTGGTAGAGCGCTCGCCTTGAGCTGAAGAGCTGAGGGACAGCGCCCAGGCCCAGAGTTCAAACCCCATGACCGACAAAAAAAAAAAAAAAAAAAGATTTATATTGTTAGTTTTGTCATTATTCCTTTTGGAATTATCTCTCAATTTTCCATTTTATTATATATAATTATTGTCTATATTTTTCTTTTGAATTTTTTTCTTAGACTTTATTCCTGAATAAATTCACTATAGTGAATGAATTCACTATAGCTTTAAAAAAATCCATTGTAAAAGCCAAACCCAGAGCAAGCTTGCCAACTAATCAAAAGTCCTTTTACTCTAGAATGCCTTTGTAAACTATTAGGAAAAATGGGAAAGGAGAGAGATCCTTTCCAAAGATAGCTTTAGTTGTAACTACAAATCACTGATCAATGCTGTATTGTCTCCTGAATATCAATTATGCATATTTAACTTATTTGAGCAAGATTTAACTTTTTAAAGTTTTGTAAAGAACTTTTATACGTGGAGAAAGCTAAGACAAGAGATTATATATCAGAAGTATTAGAGCCTTAAATACTATTTGCTTATGTGCTAATTTTCATAAGTCAGGGTTCTCAAGCTTAACACCACATATAATTTAGGAATGGATAACTTTTAGTTGTCTTCCTAATTGTAAGATATTCAGCAGCATCCCTGACCTGTATCCAGTAATATCAGATGATTTATGCCACTAGATTGCCATCTGAGTCATGTTACCATCACTGTCAAATGTTACTATGCAGGGGACAAAGACACTCCCAGTTGAGAACTATTGACATGAAAACATTGTGCATCAAAAGCTTCATAAACCATTTTCATTATTGTCATATAGATTGAGAGTCTGACTTTACCTACATCCTTTATAACATTACATATATATTGCTGATTTCAGAAATAGGCAATGTTAACATAGCACACACAGCACACAAGAAAGAGATATACAGATGTATACAGGGAACACATGTAGGACAGGCATTTGATTGATAGGGTCAAGTACTCAGTAGCTATTTTGCCCATTAGCGGTTAATTCTTCCTGCACATTGACCATTTGGGAACACTGTGGCCTGGATATTTGTTAAACTGATTGTAGGCAGAGAAAGGTTTTTGTGGTGCAATTCTATACAAAAAGAAGCGAAATTTAAATTCCTACAGTTGTTGCTTATTTAAAATATGAGTTCATCATTACTTATGTCCTTTTTATAAGGCTCTTTTAAACCATTTTTTGTTTTTTATACTTCATTTTTGCTGTCTTTTTAGTGTAGAGCATCTTAAGGCAAATAAAAGCACAAATAGTTAAAAATTAAGCTCATTGCTAATAGTCATAGTATTTACTGTATCATATAACCATGATACATCATCACTGTTATCAAAAGCATTACTTTAAACATGTTTTGTATTCATTGAAATGTTATCAGGTGTAAAAAGAACAAACATCTAAAAAGGGTAAATGTCTATTTGCATTCTCCCAGCAGCCAAGGCCATGCGCAGCTAGTTCAATCTTGTTCCAGTAGGTGGAGAACAGACCAAGAGGATTAACTGGTTTGTTTAGTCTTTGGAACTTGTTCCTTAAGATATTTTTCCTTTAAGAGTAGATGACAGGACTATGAAACTGAGGGGTGCTCTGCAGATAAAGTACATCCTTTTTCTCATTATTGTTTATATCAAAATAAATCAATGGTATTAATATTTTATATACAAGTTTATGGGAGCACTATATTCCTATAGTGCTATTTTAATCTACCTGAATAAAATCTGTGTGCTCAGAAGATGCCAGGCACGTCAAGGTTAGGCAAGCTGAGTTTTAGTGTTTGTGCTCATTTTGTTAAATGACTTTGGGTTAGTTTACTACCTTCTGGAAAATCAAGTCATCCTACAGCTTTAGCCTTCTGCCTCTCTACCTTCTTTCTTTGAACATTTTGGACTTCATGGGGTATTATGTATTGTTTCATTTGTAAAGTTGAACATAAAAAGTAATGGGATTTTCACAAGCCATTACCTAAGAAGTATAAAGTTGAGAACATTTTATTAAGAAGGAAGAAAAGATTCTTTATAGAAAGCCCTTTGAAAACAAGTTGGGGTTGTATATAGAGTTATATGGTCATGTATACCATATGCTGCCTCCTGTCATGTATGATAAGAGCTTTTTTGCACATGCGTAGCAGAACAATGTTTCTTTCCTGGAGATAAAGCTTAGTTTTAGTGTTGGAACATGTGGGAACTTTGCTAATGCGGAGTACAGGAAAAAGAGATCAAGGAAAAGACAAAACAAAAAACAATCAATTACTATTGAATGCTTTTTGTCATTTAGGCAGCTGTGTTTATATCTTATTCGTAGATGGATTAGTATGGTGGTTTCCTATGTAATGACCACAAACATCCAGGTATGCTAGTTTACTTTGACTAGGAGAGATTAGTTTATCTGGATCTCAGAATAACCTTTCAGTAACCTCTTTCCTAAGATCGTACTTTACAGTGAAGCCATCATTATTCAGTAATAAAGATTCTAGTCTTTGTTGAACAGAGATGCTGACGTGAGTCATTCGTTACTTTCCTTAGTAAAAGGGTAATTGTAGCATTTGAGCTCTGTCTCATTTCATTGAAGATTGGAGAAGGGAGAAAACAAGACAACCCTTGGAAACTAGTTAGTTTAATATTTGTGGGGTTGGTATGGGGAGAGATTAAAACCAACCAAGATAAACCCTCCAATTCATCTGCTATGCTAAATGTGGCCCCAGGCTGAAAAGTAAACAATTCTAGTATGTCAGAAAATTAAAAGACAGATCTTTCTGCTGCCACAGATTATAGTGTTGATTAATAGGAAAAACCTTACTTCTTGTAGCATGAAGACATTAATATGCAAATATATGTTTTGGTTTGGTTTGGTTTTTTTGGTCGGTCATGAGGCTTGAACTCTGGACTTGGGCGAGTTCCCTGAGCTCTTCAGCTCAAGGCGAGCACTCTACCCCTTCAGCCACAGCGCCACTTCAACTTTTTTTGAGACAGTATCTCAGCACTCTCTTTTCTGTGCCTTCCCAGTGCTTGGACACAGGCATTCATCACCACATTGGACTGGTGTGGTGGTGCATGCCTATAAGGCAGGAAGATTACATGTTTGAGGATGTATGTAGCAAGACCCTGTCTCCAAAAAAAGGAAGATCTTTCTTTAGCACAAATGACCACTGACCACTGCTCTTGTCTTGGTCTCTGCTTCTTTTTTTTCTTTTGTCAGTCATGGGGCTTGAACTCTGGGCCTGAGCGCTGTCCCTCAGCTCTTCAGCTCAAGGCTAGTGCTCTACCACTTGAGCCACAGCGCCCCTTCCAGTTTTTTCACAGACTTTCCTGCCCAGGCTGGCTTTGAACCATGATCTCAGCCTCTTGAGTAGCTAGGATTACAGGTGTGAGCCACCAGCGCTTGGCAGGCGGGTCTCTGCTTCTTAAGAGGGACCCATGGACATTTTTTACCCAAAACTCCCTTGTTGCTTGTTTCTTGAATCAACCTATTTGAATAGTTGAGTAGCTAGGAGTGCTTAGACACATGGATGCTTTGTTTGAAAAGTTTGCCTGTTCCTGTGCTTAGCTAGCAGCTGTTTTGTATGTCTGTATATCACTGTCTCTGATGCTTTCTATCCGGATTTTCAGGATCATCAGCCTTTTGCAAATGCCCATGATGTGCTTGCCCGCTCCCGCAGTCGAGCCAATGTTCTGAACAAGGTAGAATATGCCCAGCAGCGTTGGAAGCTTCAAGTTCAAGAACAGCGAAAATCTGTCTTTGACCGACATGTTGTCCTCAGCTAATTGGGAATAAAAGTCAAAGTGACCAGAAAAAAAATGGGCTGACAATTGGAAAGAATTGAGTTTCCTGGGTTTTGTTATAATGACCTGTTGATTTCACCAACTCTTGCTGGAAGACTCAAAATTGAAAGCAAAAATATGCTTAGTATTTTTTTCTCATTAATGTATTAATGAAGACATTTTTAAAAGCACAGTTCAAAGTCAGTCTATAAATCTTTTCCTACTTGTGACTTTTACTAATAAAACTAAATCTGCCTGTAAATGATCTTCAAGTCCATTATCTGAAACAAGCACTCTCTTTTTCACCACATAGTTTTAACTTGATATTCAAGATATTTTTCAGGGTTGGGTTTGCTTTTTTTTTTTTTTTTGGTGTGTGTTATTGTTCTTTTTTTTTTTGTGGCAGAAGGAGAGATGCGTGGAAAGTGCTTGATGAAACTTTCTTAAGTCACTTTACTAAACTTTTGTAAATAGTTCGTACCTTCTGTTTTCAAAGTCATTGGTAATGTTCCAATGTAGCCAACCTCATCAAAGCACTGACTTGCTCATTTGACTTTTGCACTGACTATATTATCTAGGTATCTGGTTGGCCTATGGCTGCATTTCGTGGTAAACTGGATCTGAAATGCCTGGTGGCTCTTCACAAAATGCAGATTTTCTTCATGTACTGCGATGTCTGATGTAATGCATCCCAGGACAAACTGGCCATTTGCTAGTTTACTTTAATGACTAAACATAGTCTTGGTGTGTGTGGTCTTCCTCATCTTCTAGTATCTTAAGGACTTGGACGCTTGCAATAAAGAAATTTCCTCTTAAATCCAAGCCTCCCTGGGTTGATGACATACTCATATTGGTCAGCATTTCCAGTCGTGTTGAAAGGCAGCTGTTTGAACTCTCGCGTGCAGCTTTGAACTAGGACTGGGGTTTGGTTGCCTCTCTGAAAAGCATAACAATTATTGGATAACTTGTTTTTTTTCTTCCTATATGTCCTTTTTGGAATGTAACAATAAAAATAATTTTTGAAGCACATATTAATGTGTCCATGTACTCAAGCTTTTTCTTTTCCTTTTGCAATATGATGAGATTGAAGATACAAAGACATTTTGTACTCTGTTGTGAGATTCATTTATACTGAATTACCTGTGTAAGCATGTTTAGAGAGGAAAGAAAAGAATGTATGGGTTCAGACCAACCGCTCTCTAAAAAGTATACAAGCCAGGTGCCTGTGGCACATGCCTGCAATCCCAGTTATTCAGGAGGCTGAGACTAAGGATCACAGTTTGAAGCCACTCCAAGCAGGAATGTCTGTGTAACTCTTTATCTCCAATAAACTACCAAAAAAGCCAGAAGTGGCGCTGTGGCTCAAGTGGTAGAATGCTAGCCCTGATGAAAAGAAGCTCAGGGACAATGCCCACACCCTGAATTCAGGCTGGAAGCTCAGGGACAATGCCCATGCCCGGAGTTCAGGCTTTATGACCAGCACAAATATAAAATTTAAAAAGTAAATTATACAGATGTTCTGGTAAACTGAGAGATTTTAAATTCCTAAAGGAGCCGTGCGCAGGTGGCTCACGCCTGTAATCCTGAGCTACCCAGGAGGTTGAGATCTGAGGATGGTGGTTCAAAGCCAGCCCAGGCAGGAAAGTGTGAGACTCTTATCTCCAATTAACCACCAGAAAACCAGAAGTGATGGCTCAAGTGGTAGAACGCTCACCTTGAGCTGAAGAGCTCAGGGACAGCACCCAGGCCCAGAGTTCAAGCCCCATGACCAACAACAAAAAAAAAAACTAAAGGAGCACTTGTCCTACAAAGTTCTTGACAAAAATGGTATTGCAGCCTAGCACTTATGGCTCATGCCTATAATCCTAGATGTTTAGGAGGCTGAGATCTGAAGATGGCATTCAAAGCTAGCTTGGACAGAAAAATCCATGAGACTCATAACCAGTTAACCAGCAAAAAGCCAGAAGTGGAGGTGTGGCTCAAATGGTAGAGTGCTATCCTGGAGCAAGAAAGCTCATAGACTGCCCAGTCCCAGAATTTGAGTCTCAGGACCAGCGTACACACATGTGCTTGCTCTCTCTCTCTCTCTCTCTCACACACACACACACACACACACAATTGCAATTAAATTCATAAGGATAATGTTTAGGAACTGCTAATGGTTTTGTTGCTTCATTTAAAACAAAAAATGGAGTTTTTCAACATCCACAAACATACTAAAATTGGTTACATTGTTAGTATTAAAATGTAGGCTTATGCCTGGCTCAGCTTCTCAGGAAGCTGAGATCTGAGGATCAAGGTTCAAAGCCAGTGCAGGCAGGAAAGTCTGTGAGACTCTTATCTCCAATAAACCACCAGAAAACTGGAAGTGGCGCTGTGGCTCAAGTGGTAGAACCTTGAGCTGAATTGTTGAGGGACAGTGCCTAAGCCCAGTGTCCAAACCCCACAACCCACAAAAAAAAAAACCAAAAAACAAAATTTAGGCTGCACATAGTTATGCACACATATAATCATACCATTCAGGAGGAAGAGATAGGACCACAAGTTCAAGGCCTGTCTGGGCTATGTAACAAGCTCAAGGCCAGCCTGCATAGTATCACTGTCTCAAAGGAAAAAGTCAACCATGATCAAGTAAATATATCCCAGACATGAAAAACTAGTTGAACATTTGAAAATAATACCATCAGTGGGAATTTTAAATAAGATGTAAGTCAAAGCACTAGCGGCCCATGCTGTAATCCTAGCTACTCAAGAGGCTGAGATCTGAGGATCAGGATTTGAAGGCAGCTCAGGCAGGAAAGACATGAGACATCAATTAACCAGTAAAAAGCTGGAAGTGTACCTGTGAGCTCAAGTGGTAGTGTTAGCTCAAGTCAAAAAGGTAAGGGACAGCACCCAGGGTCTGAATTCAAGCATCAGTATCAGCACACACACACAGGAAATAATGAAGACTAGGGGGGAGGCTGGGAAGGGATGTGAAGGGTAAACAAAGGAGGAGGCTGCAATGCTTGATAAGAAATGTACGCATTATCCTGCCCATGTAATTGTAACCCCTCTGTACAGTATGTTCACAAAAATAAAATAAATTTAAAAAAAAAGAAAGAATGAAGGCTGGGGCTGGGAAAGTGGCTCAGTGGTAGAGCACTTGCCTTGCATGCCTGAGGCCCTGGGTTCGATTGCTCAGCATCACATAAGCAAAAAGAAAAAAAGACGGAAATGGCGCTGTGGCTCAGGTGGTAGAGTGCTAGCCTTGAGCTGAAGAGCTGAGGGACAGCGCCCAGGCCCAGAGTTCAGGCCCCACGACTGGACCCCAAAAAAAAAAAAAAAGAAAGAATGAAGGCTGGGAAGGTGGCTCTTTGGTAGAGCGCTTGCCTTGCATGCAGGAGGCCTTGGGTTTGATTCCTCAGCACCACATAAGAAAAAAGAAAAAAGCTGGAAGTGGCTCTGTGGCTCAAGTGGTAGATCGCTAGCCTTGAGCTGAAGAGCTGAGGGACAGCGCCCAGGCCTAGAGTTCAGGCCCCACGACCAGACCCAAACAAAAAGAAAGAATGAAGATACAAGTTCATACTGACTTTTTTAAAGTTCTGGCCTTAATCTCTTATCTATCTAAAAGACTATCGACAATTTTTACATATTGATATTATTAAAATACCTTGTTTTATTTTTACATAAAACTATAACCCAAATGAATTGAGCATTCTTTAAACAAAAGAATGTGTTACAAGTACCTAGTTTTGTAAGCAAACCTTTCTCTCTAGTATTGTTATGGGTTGTCATATCTATGTATTAGAAGAAAAAAAGCTAAGCCAGAACCAAGCAGTTCTGTTTAACTGTAAGCTACTTTGCATATTGTTATTAAATGACCACTTATAAATCAGGTTAAATCTGACTCAGCTCCCAATAGAGCACCTTGAACGACAAAACACAGGTAAGAGACACTTCAGAGGAGCCCAGAGGGGAGAGAAGGGAACATGATTTTTAAAGAAAATCCATAGGCATAATTGACAAAGGATAAATTTATCTGATTACTATGTAGATATCAGTTACTTCCCATAGAAAGTACAGATTTACTAATGATTAAATGGTTTAGAGAAGTGGGAAATGTTTTAGTTAAACCTTAGCAACTTATCATAAACTTATGGGGGTGGGGAAAGAGGTTTTTTTTAAACTTCCCAGCTCTTAACATTCCATAATTAAATTATATGTGCAGCAGTAGCATTTTGTTTTGTTTTGTTTTACATGCCAGATATAGTTTTTAATGAAAGTTTTTTATGAAAGTTAAAGTTTTTATGCTCAGTAGAGCATCAAGAATTTCTTAGGATTTTATCATTAAGACCTCATTATTTCCCAGAAGAGCTCAAAGACAGAAACCTGAGATTTTTCCCAAGACAGCATGTTTGTTAGCATTCCGTGCATCTGGAACCACAAAGTGCAGTACTGGCTATCTGTGTTGCTTCATTCTAAAATAAATGTGTACTCAATTCCTACACAAACACTTCCAAGTTCCATAATACTTACTTCCTATCTTGATTCTCTTTATCACTGTATTTTTTTTTCATTTTTTTTTTCTTTTTTGGTCAGTCGTGGGGCTTGAACTCTGGGCTTAGGGGCTGTCCCTGCGCTTTTCAGCTCAAGGTGAGCCCTTTACCACTGGAGCCACAGCACCACTTCCGTTTTTTTCTGTTGATTTACTGGAGATAAGAGTCTCCTGCTCGGACAGGCTTTGAACCTTGATCCTCATATCTCAATCCTCCAGAGTAGCTAGGCTTATAGGTGTGAGCCACTGGTGCCCAGCTTTTTTTTCATTCTTTTACTCTGTTGTTTGAGCAAAAGGTGATCGTATTTAAATGCTATTAATATTGGTTGGTTGGACTTATTGGAAATGTCCATTAGAAAAAGCTTCTTATTAATGTGTTTCCAGGGACAAGATACTGAGTTATGTAAATATCTTGTTAAAACCTAGAAACAAAAATCACTGTGGCATATAAAAATTGTTCGAGGTTCATCTAGATCAAGATGTGAGATACTATTTAAAGT